TCTGGACGCGCAGGCTCAGTGGCCATGGCTCACGGGCCTAGCCACTCCGTGGCATGTGGGATCTTCCCGGACCGGGGCACTAACCCGTGTCCCCTGCATCGGCAGGCGGACTCTCAACCACTGCACCACCAGGGAAGCCCCCCTAGTAATTTTTTTAAAGCAGGGATTTAGAAGACTAGTTTTAAAAGCAAGCCTAAATAAGTAGAACTCAATCTTTCACACACTTCCATGTAATTAATATAGCTTCTTAGATTTTAGTGAAGAAGGGCTGATCTAGCTCTCTGCCTATAATAGCAAGCATGATTTAACAATTTATCAAGTCAGACTTCTCATCAAATAAAAAATAAAATGACAAAAGTTAAGGAACAAAACATAGGAAGCCAGCAGTAAATTGTCAAATATAACTTTTACCATTAACTTTAACTTACCTCTACAAATTTGACTATAAATTATTATAGGCATTGCTAAAATCAAGTAAATGAACTTTGCTAAATAGTTTACTTTCTCTTCTCACCTCTTTGTGAACCACAGTTAGCAACAGGGGGTCTATTTATTCATATGTAAAACAAAAGTGCTCCAGTGGACCTGTGGCTCCCAGGCCTTTTTTAGCTCTAGAACCCCGAGCACTGGTAAAAGAACAAAAAGGGCCATCAGGAAGGAGTACATAAGAATTACTAAGGTAACCAACCAGCCAGTAAAACATATCCTTTGCATACATATAAATATAAAATTAAAATTTGCTGGGAGAGCTCTTCCTGCCAAAAAACTACTAAATGTTGAATTCTTATGTTCGGTCACATACACAGAGAAACCTGAACCCTTGTACCTATTTGTCTTTACAAATTTATCTCTAAATGCTTTTGATCCAATATTGCCAACAGTGAAAAGGATTTGCTCATGCAAATGTAAATTTATATTTATGAGTAGAAATCTATTATGCTCTAATATATTATATCATGAACATTATGACATATAAAAATAAAAAGTAAGAAATGAGGTTTAAAAATACAAAGCAACAAGGGTTGTCCTGTTTTCTTCCTATGGCAGAAGGTCTACCTGCATGGACTGTCTTGCCCATCCCCTGGGGATGAGCTCACTGCTTCAGAGTTCCGGTCTAAACTGCCACATCATCACTTGCTGCTTTTGAGATGCTCCTAATAATTACACCAAGGTTACAACCTGTGTTCTAAACATTTATATATCACTTTCCAAAATTTACTCCTTTTCCTTTAATAGCACCACAGTTTGAAGAATATGTTTTTTAATTTGTCTTCAAAGAAGTTCAGTACGGCAGTGTAACTGAACTCTAATCCCATTCAGAGTAGGGTTTGCAGGCTTGAGAATGGCATCAGACAATGAGTGTCTATTATGGGAAGTACCTCTCTCTTTTCTTTGGAGATTTATAGCCTAATAGAAAGATGAGAAAGTTCAAGCTAGAGCAGTGCCTCTTGCTTTTTCCTGGCAAAAATATCAAAATTAAGTGAGAATATTATCTGTCAGGACATCTAATAACAAGAGAGAAAGTTCTAAAAAATAAACAACTGATATTTCCCAGATAGGGCAGTCATCTTAACTTAGTGGCTAATTTTTACTTTATTGTCACAAGGTACCCAGAGGGAAAGACTATTTTTATGTACTCTACTTAACTATAAGAGGCAGTTATTTTCTAAGATCCTTAAAAAAAAAACCTCATAATTTTTGTTTTTCCAAAGACTCTTGCAAAGGGCATGCATTTCCTAAGCCAGCCTTTGCCACATCTGCCCCCTTGTCCACATTTTCATTCCAAAAATGCTCCCTGGCCACAAAGATCTAGCATGTAAAGCCTATCGTACTAGGAATAGGGTTCTACAGTTTCACAAAGACCAAAACAGCTACAAAATGCATAAATTAAGGAGAGAAAGATGAGTCAACAAAAGTGGTATCCATCTACTTCTCTAATTTTCTCAGCATTTGTTGCTTTGAACACATCAAATTCCTTTGCAAGTTATTAGCAAAGTGTATTTCTACCATTTTTCATTATTCCTCTGTAAACCACAAATACAATTAAAATAATGGGTTTAAAAGAGGGGTATAATAAAAATAAATTCCTAGTAATAATAAAGATGTTTATTAGACTACACTTAATGCCATGCAAATATTTTGTTTCCCTGCTCCCCTGCAGTACTGTGACCATGACTCTGTACTCAGGGTGCCTACTGATATACAAGATGTCTTCATTGAACTTAACTGCTCAGGCAGCTGAGAGTGGTTACTAACAGACTCACCTAATCTAACCAGTGTCAGAGTGTGGATCTCCTAAAGGAAATTAAAAAAGAAATTGTTTTTCTTCTTCTACAAAACCAAAAGTAAACTATTTATTCGTTTTTTTCTAAGCCAGTTTATACTGTGGTCAAAAATAAACACTATTTTAAGATTCCACCCACTTTTTTTTAATTTATAATTTTTGTTTTTGTAGTCTCCGATTATGAGGGTCACACACTAGACTGACACATATTTAAAATAACATGCACTGTATTATATCACTGAAACTTGCTAAGATAAAAGAACTTAAATGTTCTCACTGAACAAACAAATAAATGAATAAAGTGGGGTAAGGGATGTATTAATTAACTGGATCCTTTCACAATGTATATGTATATGAAAACACCACAGTGTGCATTTTAAATATCTTACAATTTTGTTTGTCAACTGTACCTCAATAAAGCTGAAAAATAAACACATTAATAAACATAGCTATGCATTACCATAAAACATTAAAAATTAAATTGAATACAATAACATGTGTAATACAAGGCTGTTGGCCTGAAAATGGAAGACTCGTCACCTAATACCTATATATTCCACAGTAATTATAAGACCTTGTTAATTATATTTATAAAGTGGTACAACAGCGTAAGATTAACGTGCCACAGTATAAATTTTGTTATCATCACTGTGTCTCACTTTCTGCTACATTAAAGCACTTTCAACTTCTACTTATGCGAATTATATCTATGTCATCAATGAAAGGTAGAAAAATGGGTATTTTAGGACAGAAGCTCATCGTCCTACATGGAGCTGCAAATCTCTGAGATTCTTCTCTCTGCATTTTGCTAATTAGAAAACTAAAAAATCTCCATCAGCATGATGTACCCTTCTTTCTCAGGGCCTCCATCCAGCACAGAGATGTGTACATAGTGTTTCTGACCAAAAGCAAAGCTTTGCTTGTAAAAATATCCCCATCTTCAAGGGTATTATACATTCCCCAGAAAGAAGGGCTTTGCCAGGTTAAACTGTAATTAACAAATAATAAAAACAGAGGCCTTCTCTGAGATTTTTATAAAACTATACAACATATTTTCTTTTCTGATAATATTTAAGTAAGACGTTTGAGTCAAGAAAGAACAGTAAACAACGAGAAAGTATTAAACCCTCAAAACTGAATTAGCCTAGTGAGTTTATTCTGGGAAGTTTAATAGCACATTTCTACTATAATGTTTATTAGCATGTTTTTCTAACACTTCAAACTGATTTTTTTTTTTTTTTTAAGAAGAGAGTGGTTTAGATTTTCAGGAGCTGGTCCAACTGAGTCACGTTAGCGCATTATTATATCACTCTTACCACTATTACCACAATTTGTTTAAAGTTGGAGTTAGAACAGTAATAATAATTGGATAGCATAACCAGAAAAGAGAGAGGTGAAATGACAGGAATGTAAGACCTAAGAGATACAACAATAAAGCAAATAGCAACCGAAATAACATATAGAGAGAAGGAAAAATTTTTTAAAAACCATCTATTTAAAAATGTGGACAAAGTATTAAAAAGGTCAGAACACTGACATTAGAATTGAAAATGAAAGGAGAGAAATATCTTAGAGAAGGTTTTAAGTAGCTAAGAACATCTTCTAAAGTTTGCACGTGTTTCTAAAACCAAAGCACAAGAGAGTGATGTCACCAAGATGGTGACATAGTTTGTTCCTGACTTTGCTCCCCCTCATGAGAAGAACAACTAACGACTATTCGAGGACAAGACACCACTGAGAGAATCGTAGGACATGGAAGTGAGGCTGAAGCACCCTCGGCACCCCAGAGATCAAGACAGACTGCATTAGAAGAATGGATGTTACCTGAACCTATTATGGTAATCATTTCATTTCATGATCAAACCATCCTGCTGTACACCTTAAAACCTATGCAGTGATGTATGTCAATTATTTCTCAATAAAACTGGGGAAAAAACCCTAAGACATGAAAAGCCCTAGTAAAAAAAGGAAAGATGGTTTAAACTTGAATTCTTGTACCACTGAAAAATAAATAAGATGCAGATAAATGGTTTCTGAAATTAGGGTGGGACTATAAATTCTGAACAACCAGCAATTTAAATTTCTTTCACAGAATGAAAAATAAATATTCAACTGTACATTTTTGCTTACCTTCACTGTCACGGAATGACTCCCCCCACCCTTTTTTTTTTGGCCCTGTCACTGTTATGGATGAAATTGTGTCTTCCAAAAATATGGGTCGAAGTCCCTGGTACCTTGGAACATGACCTTATTTGGAAATAAGGCCCTTGCAAATGTAATTAGTTAAGATGAATTCATACTGGAGTAGAGTGGGCTTTTAATTCAATATGACTGGTGTCTTTATAAGAAGAGGGAAATTTGGGCACAGTGACAGGAACACAGGGAGAATGCCATGTGATGACAGAAGCAGAGATGAGAATGACGCAGCTACAAGCCAAGGACCAGCAAGGACTGATGGTCTCCTCCTCCAGAAGCTGGGAAGAAGCAAGGAAGGATTCTACCAGTCTCGGAAGGATCCTGCCCCTGCTGGCATCTTGATTTTGAACTTCTATGAGAGAATGACTTTCTTTTGTTTAAAGCCACCCAGTTTGTGGTACTTTGTTATGACAGCCCTGGGAAACAAAGACAGTCACTGTGTTGTCCTGCAAACCCAAGAGAAAAGTCTAACTAAAGGAGAAGGGTTAGCAGAGCAGTGTCAGTACCAGCAAAAACTTACCTGCAACGTAGTCGCCAAAGCCAATGGTTGTTAAAGTAATAACCACAAAATAAATGGCGTCCAGGGCACTCCAGCCTTCTATGTGCTTGAATATGATTGCAGGCAGAGCAACAAAGAGTACACAGCCAAACAGTATAAATATGATTGTTGAGATGATTCGAATCTTGGTTTGACTAACATTCCACTTCTAAGGATGAGAGAGAGACAGAGATGGAGAAATCGATTGAGATAGATTATCAATGTATCTGTGAAGTTGACCTATATATCAATACACTGTTATCAGCAAATTAGTAAATGAGAATGGTATTTTATTCCCTCTTATAATTAACTTTAATTGTATTTACTTACAAATATTGGGTATAACATGAATAACTGAAAACAACCAATGCTAATAACGATGCTGCTTTACCCTTACCTAGCTTTACAACAGGTAAATCACTTTCTAAAGTAAATTACATTTGCTCTGAGAATAAAATTTCAGACTTACATTGTTCTTTGCTTACCTGAACTACTTTTGAAATATTTCTATTCTATAGGCATACAACCATTGCATGCCAAAGATAATCTAGAAATATATGAAATGGAGAAAACTGAACCATGAATTAAATATCTACTGTTGATAATTGATAAAATTATTAATTTCATGAAGACTTTTCCCTCTCACTCCTACCACATTTTCCTATCATTCTTCAATTGGTTAAAGTGAAATACTAACAGACTTAAAGTTGATTCCCATGTGAACCAGATGAACTACCTCTCTGTTCTGTGGCCTTAAGCTGTACAACTAAATATACCAGACACGATATGTAGGCAAGGATAAGTCTTCAGCAGCCCTAAGCTACAGCTGCCCTCAGAGGACCCATATTTTTTCACTCTTTCCCTTCTCAGAAATCTCTACAGCATAACCTAGTAAGTGAAGTATGTACATACAGCCATTTATCTCCATATCTCTTTTTTTCGTTATCACTATATATTTTCATCTCCCTGGATCTGTCTTATCTACTGTGACAATTATACGTCACATCCCCACCGTATAAAAATCACTGAATTTTAGAGCTTGAACATTTTCTAGAGATAAAGATCTATAAAACCATCGAATGGAAAGTGGAAATAAAAGTTTCTCTAGTCTATCACCCTTATCATATACATAAGAGTTAAATGAATTCATGTTTGTAAAGTTCTCAGAACAGAGCTTAGTACTAAATGTTGAATCTTGACTACTGGGATGTATTCACTACCAGAGCATGGGATTTATTTTATGCACTGATGTGGATACAGCATGAAAAACATTCTCCAGCATCCTGTAGTCACTCAAACATCTGTTGAATGAATGAATGAAGAACAATTCAGCATTATCAAGTTCATGCCACTAACTTCCCCTCTAAGTTAATGTAATACAAGATACTTTTAATATCAATATAAGAAAAGTATAACACCAAAAAAGGATAAAACAACTAGTTGGGAAGAACCATGCCTTCTTTACTCTAACGTAAAAATATTTGAGAATGAACTTTGAACTTAATATGAAACATATCTAATGCTACAACTGGAATTATAATTTAAATTGAAAAACTAATACTCAGTGGTCTTATTTCATTAATAGAGTTAAATACTTTGTTGAATTTTTTATGAAAAGATAAATTATTGAATAATAAATAAAATGTATTGTAATAGTAGTGACAGTACTAACAAACCATTTATAATCTCACTCTCTAACACAATTATTTTCTTTATTCATAATTTTTTTTCAAGAATAGAAGCTTGTCATCATGATATTTTTCACTTAAGATCTAATTAGAGCATTTTCATTTTATTTTATTTTTTCTATTGAATATATACCCATGAACATCTTGTGTATTACTTTTGGTTCTACTAAATTACATCCCTTAGTTAAATCTCTATCAATAATAACATGACTAACTTAAGTTATATGATCCCCTTTATCGTGTTTGCTATGTATTATTTGATCCTTCACAAAAGGGCTATTTGAAGTTTACTAGCTATGTTAGGCTTTCACTTATAATATCTCTAACTCTCAGAGTAATGCCTCATCATCAGTACCATTATTCACATTATATAAATGGCAAAATGGAGATTTAAGGGTAAAATAACTAGCCTAAGTGAATATAGCTAGGAGACAATACATCTGAAATTTGAACCCAGGACTGTCAGATTTCTGCTTCTTTTCCTATATTTTGCTTTTTCTCATTCATTAATGTATTCATTTGAAGAAGTATAAAAATAACTATACAGTGAGTTACTTACAAATAGAGGTACATATAAATTGTTATAGAAAACCCAGTAACTGAACGTCTAACTGTATCTGAGGTGAAGAGAAAAGTTACAATATTTTTAAAATTTAAATGATTAACATATGTAGTTAAAAGGCTATTGTACTCACAATAAATGTATCTTCCACTTTTGCAATTCCTTTTCCAAATATGGTTCCTAGTTGATCTCCAACTCCAGCCAACAGAAAACCAAAGAGGGGAATTCCCAGTAAGGCATAGATGATACAGAATATTTTCCCCCCTTCTGTGCGTGGTGAGATGTTTCCAAATCCTAAAAAACACAAAGAAGAAGAAGAATTCAGCTGTTTATAAATGAGGAATAGTTTAAAACATATGACCTCAAGATTGATTCAGAAATTCCCAAATATTATAAGATATCAATCCTAGATTTCAACTAATTAAGAATTGCTTTATACCACATAAGCTTTTAATGTAAAATCCTCTTATAAACAAATATTTTAACAATCTACAAAATATAGCTAGTGTTCCAATTAAACTAGATGATGAAAACTGAGGGAATAACACATGTAATAAAGTCAATGTTTTCATTAAATTTACCTCCACCTCTCTATACTGCTAATCCTGTCGACTACAAAGTTTTCGTTGCCATTTACTAAGAGTGTATTGCCTTCATTTAAGAGTATTCAAATATGCTTAAATTATTTAAAGTTTAATAACAACTTTTAAATTTTGTTTCCATTCAAGTACCTACAAAAAAGCAATAAATAAAAACTTAAAATTACGAAACCTTGTTAAAGTTCTGAGGATTCTGAAGGCTTTTCAATTTTGTGCAAGGATGGCGCTACTTGTTATGACTAAATCAGCTCAACTTTATTCCCCCCCTTTTTAAGAACAAAAGCAATGTCTACAAACATGTTTGAGGTAAAGAATGCATGTTCTCTAGAAGTACATAGAGTATTTTATTTGATATGTAATCCTCTCATTATCTTTCACATTAAATTAATCTGGAATTTTAGTTTTAATTTCCTCTTTTACTCAAGAATGTGGATCGGGATTTTAAGATTGGCATTTTGTTGCTACTCTCTAGTTTTACGACTATAACTATCAAAGAGTATGGCCTGTATGATTTTTACTTTTGGGAATTTATTGAGATTTTCTTTGTGGCTTTATAATGGCCAATTTTTTTTATTTGTTTGTTTTTTGAAAATAATCTGGATGTTCTATTTGTTGGAAACAAAAAGGGTATATATTATCAAAGGGATTCATATCATCCCCCCAAATCCAGTCCTAATGTGGCTCCCTCACAAAACTTGCCCGGGGGGAGGAGAGGATGGGCTAATATTTGGTCATTTTAGCACATACATTTTTCTCCCCATAATATTTCCATCTTTCTCTTCTTCCTATTCAGTCAATTTGGTATTCATTGCTAGTCAATTCATCTATTGAGGGTTGTGGGTTTTTTCAAGCGTATTTAATTTTCAAGAACTTTGCCTGTTTTCATTAGTCGGTTCTTATGCCATGAAAATAACAATTACACTCATTTCTTTGTTTTAACAATGTTGTACCATAAATTAACTCTATTCCCTGAGAGAAATCCTACACTTCCTTCATTTAGGTGACTTTCTTCAAGTGTCTGAGAATCCCTGGTCATATTTTCATACTTGTAAGCACAGTATAATAGTAGTTTGGTTAGTTTTTGTGGCTGAAATCTATTTCCCAGACTCAGTGAGAATCGTGGTTGATCTGGTGGGGCATGTAAGATTCTCTTCAAAGGAGTGTAGTTCAAGTAGTGTTGGCCGGAAAGAAGGGGGCTGGCATCTGATTGGCCTTTCACATAGATGTGCACCTCACAGAACTTGATAGCAAGGTTTCCTAATTCCTCATGGCAGCCTCCAGTTCACAGCTGCCTTTCTGCTTCTCAGACCTGCTGACTGCTTGGGGAACATGATGTAAGCTGTCTACACATTTAACTCATTTACCTTCCATCTGCTCTTATCTACTAATGCCTTGGAACGCTGAACATCAGGGCAATATGTACAAAGGTCCATCCAGGGCAAGTGTGAAAAAGGCCGAGAAGTCTTGTATCAAGGTAACTTGAAGAAGAAAAAGCCCATCACAAGGGTTAGACAGAATGCTTAAACTGGACAATTTGGGACGGTGCACCATTTCTGTACACTATCCAAGATGGAACTCAACAAGTTCAACCCTGTCCTCTATTCTAGCATCAATAAGCAGAATACCAATAACAAGAGAGCCTTGCTAAATCAGCAGTGTGGACTGTTTTGACCTGGGTTCTCTGATTGTTACAGAGAGTCCTGCTAAGATCCAACACTATTTTATTGCCTCTCCAGATGAATAACCATGTGACCTGAAGTAGGGCAGGCATCTGAGTTATCCCATACCATCCCATTCTCTCTTCTTGCATAAGAGGACGAATGTCTTCAAAGTTATATCCATAAGAAGTAACCTACCTCCAGAAAGGGTCAAGGATCAAAAAGAAAAGATACAACGTTTTCTTTAATACTGACTGTGGCATTGCTATAAGTAGGCTCTGCAGTTTGTTTAAAAAATAAAAGCCTAAGTATCAGAGGGCTCAATTTGATCTGCCCCACACAAGTTAAAAGGGCATAGGAAAAAAGGGCTCCAACTTTTCATCCATCACTGACTCAGATTCGGCCCAGAAGCCACTGGAACATCTTCAGAAAAGGGAACAGAGGACTTCCTCAGAAAGTCTATTTATATCACAAATGAAATGGCCCCAAATCCAAAGAATTCTAGATGTAAGGAAAGCCAATCACCTTTCATTGATCAAAAAACAGAAACCAGTTCCTTGTGGCATCTCTGTACTTCCTCTTTATTATCTCCAAAGTTAGAAGAAGGGAGAATTGAAGGGAGTAGGGTTGAAGGATCCTGATATGATTCTTCTCTGAGTCTCTTCCTGCTTCACCTTCCAAATGTTTCTCTCGACACCATTACGCTGAGCTCTCCAGCTGAATCTGTGCCCCAGAGCTGGCTGCCCTCACACAGTCACCCAGTGCACACACACAAAGTCACCTAGCCATTTTCTGACATGAAGGGCGTGCCGACGACACCCTGAGCATCTGCCCAGGTGACAGGATCACGTGGTTGTTCAGGGGCTGTTCCTCACGTTTTCTCCTCTTCCCTGCATAAAATAAGAGTGGTCTCCTCTCCACGGATACACCACAGGGTCTAACCCAAGAACAGACCCTGGTTAAATGACTTGATATTATTAATGGACTTACAAAAAGTATCCATTGACTCTAAGCAATACAGTATGCCAAGCTTTTAAACTATTAATCTTAGTGGTTGTCTGGACTTCCTGACCCTTTCCCGTGGTTAGTCAGCAGCACCTTCCTTGCCTCAGGGTGAAACAGACTGTTTTGGCAAGAAGAAAATGGAAAAGAAACCATATTAAATTTTGTTTTCTTTTAACTCCTAAATTAAGGTGTTCACGCTCAAAATGCTCTGCCTGAGGAGAGCAGCTGTCAGTTTATAGCATCACATATGCTTGGCAAGAAAGTTATAAGAGCGGCAGGCAATCCAGCTTCCCAAGAGCTTAAGGGAACAGACAAGACTGAAGATTGATGGGGCCTGACCTTGGAGGAGGCGGGGTGAGGCAGAAACCAGAGGATAGGACCTGGGAGGAGGAGGGCGTTTCAAAGATACCCTGAAGCTGTCTTGAAGAGATCAGTGGTTAAATTCTCAGGAGTTCTGCAAGTCAGCTGACTTCACATTGATAGTATGAAATCAACTGTAGTAGGAATACTTACACCTCAGAAATTGGCAAGTGCTACAGTTTAGGGCTCCCCCCCCAACCCCAGCTACCTAATATTGACCAATACACTACAGGATAAGACAGAGTCAAATCTGAGAGACCGTACATAGTCTGTGCTAGACATCTGGATGGAAGCCTGTAGGCTAACCCCTGACATTTATATAAATACAGCACCAGAATAGCTATCATCTCGTCTTCACATCACTTTAAGGGCAGGGCTTTCCGCGGAAAGCTATTGCAGGTCCCCTGTAAGTGGATTACCTAGCAGGAGGCCCATATATGTCACCCCATCTGAACAGCCTGAAGTGGACAGGTCACTTTTCTGGCAGAATTTATTAATACTACAAATAAATAATACCCCTTCAAACACTGTGCACACTTGCAATTATTTAATTATTTGCAACAATTGATTTAATACCTTATTCCTCACTTGACTATGAGTCCCATGAGTGTAGAGACTGATTTATTGTTTACTTATATGTTGTTAAGACTATAATTCCAAAACCTTACTGGCTTATTAACTAGTGCACTGACAATCAATAAATATTTCTTGACTGGTTGACTGACATATAAACCTAAAAAGTTTACAAAACTTTAGAAAGAGGGTAGAGAAAAATAAAAGCATACAGAGAAATACAATGTTTCTGTATGAGAACTCATAAAATAACTAAATTTCTCTCCCACTAGTTACTAAATTTACTATCTTTGCAATCAAAATTCCATAGTTTTTAAAATTTTTACAACCTAATGAAATGATCCTAAAATTCACCTGGGATAAAATTAACAATAAGTCAATAAATATTTAAAAGCATGACTAATATGAGGCAAAATTTACTTCCAAATTAAAACTACGTTATCTATAGTTTTAATAATTAAAACTATGTGGAAAATTAATGAATGAAAACAACAGAAAGCGTAGAAAAGACCCAGCATATAACTGAATGTACTGTTTGCTAAATATGACATTTCATATTAATGTAGAGTTAGAGAATCAATTAGAATTGATTATTAAGTAAACAATGATGGGGTACATAGTAAGCCACTTAGAAATAAATTATGTCCTTGCCTCATGGTATACACTAAATATTACCAGATAGATTAAATAATCAAATATGAAGAAAATGTGACCATAAAATATACATGAAAGGACAGGAGAATGATTCTCTAAATGTAACTCCTAGGGCAGAGCCATGAAGAAATGAAGGATAAATACAACTACACAACAATATAACGATGCCGTATGTCAAAAGAAGAACACAAATTCTATGTAGAGGCAAAGTGTTTTTACCGAGAGGCAGTGCAGAAAAGACCCAATCGCCTCTGTTACTGGTCCTACCAGAGCTCTTCTTGACCAAACAGGCAAACTTTCACTTCACTTTCAGGGCTGAAGTTGTCCTGAACCTAACATGTCTGCATTTGTGATCTGAAATGTTCAAATTTAGACTTCTGCCTTTCGTCTCCAGCCTTAATATGTAGACCTTGGATTGTTACTTACAAATATACCTGTTACTGGG